AGGCGTTCCTGGGCCCTCTCTCTGGTCGGGGAGGGGCTGGGAGTTCCCAAGTGAGAGCAAGTGCCTCGAAGCTCGTACTGAGTGCAGGTGCGCTGTGTCTTCCAGCTGAGGACCAGCCGGGCCACTGCTGCCGCCAAGACCTGCTCTCTGTCCGTGGAATGTGGCTGCTGGTTCTCCCACTTGGATTGTGCTGGAATTCCCCCCACCTCGTCGCCCCTCCACTGCCACCACCACCTCTATCCCTGCATCAAGAAAACCTGCTTGTTCACAAAAGCCATCACAACTCCAGAGCAAATGGCCAACCCCCTGCCCCCACATCTCACTCATGCCCTCGCTGCCCTGCTAGGGCAGGGCTTCCTCAGGCCGGGGGGGCCGGGGTGCTGGCCCCAAGGACCCCCTCGCCCTCACCTCTATGGCTGTCGTCCTGCTCTTGCCTCAGCTGGAGGCTCCAGTGCCCTGGCCGTGTGTTCACGGGGCACTGGGGAGAAGGAGGGCGCAGCGGAGAAGAACGCGGCACTGGCCTGCTCCTCTCCCTGCCCTCTCCTTTTCTGGGGTCCCTGGGAAAAGGCAAAAAGAAAGCCCTCAACATCCCTGAGGGAGAGGGCGAGGGAGGAGCCCAGGCCAGGAGCCTCCTGCCCTACGCTGCTTTCTGACTCTTCCCTGCTGCGCTGGCCTCGTGGTGGCCTCGTGGTGGCCTCCTGACCCTCCTGCGGTGTGGGGGGCGCAACCCTCTCAGGTGGCCCCACTCGCTTCCCACTTCCTCTGGAGAAGTTCACCTGTCACATGACCCCCTCACCCCACCCTGCCATCGGCCCTGGAGAATTCCCTGTCCGAGAGAGGGAACTGAATTGTGTGGGGGCGAAAGCAAGTGACGTTAGGTGTCACTCTACGTGGACCGCATGCCTTTTTATAGCCAAACTTCTGTGTACTCGGTAAACGGATTCCGCGTTAATGGATATTTATGTACTAATATTCCTCTCAAATTATTGTGAAGAGGGCTGGGTTGGGAAGGAGGGTGGGAAGAGGGGTGAGGGAATTCTTTTCTTTTTTCCTTTCTTTTCTTTCTTTTTTCTTTTTCTTTTTCTTTTTTTTTTTTTTGGCCATCTCTGAGGTGGACCTTGTCACCTGTGGTTACCTGAGACTGAGGTGAGCTCAGTTCCGGGGAGAAGGGCCTCTGCCATTTCGATCCAGGGTGAGAGCGTGCAGGTGCTCCTTTTGGGACTGGGGGGTGTCAGGTGCCGGTGCTGACGGGCAGAGTGGGCAGGTGTCAGAATGGAAGCACCCAGACTTTGCTTTTCTCCCAAACTGGGGTCCTTACAATGCACGCCCCAGGATTTCACGCCACCATCCCGTGCGCCGCCTGTGTGGGCGGCCGTGAGCACGTGTCCTCCCTGCCTGCCTCCCCTGGGCATCTGACAGCCCCTGCAGAGCCCCGGGAGCGCCTCCTCTTCACGCCTCACCTGCAGCCTCGGGTCCATTCTCTCTCTCTCCCCTCTTCCCTCTTCCCCCGGAACTGACTGGCCTGGACTGCCTCGGCACCTCCACTGGGATCTCCTGTCTGCACTGTTTTCTTTGCATGACTTTATATGCAGTAAGTATGTTGAAAAAAAAAAAGAAAAGAAGAAAAACATTCAACAAAACCAATCTACATGTTTCGGACAAAAACATAACAATAATAGAGGTTGTATTCTGTGTCCGACTCGGGATTCTGTCGCCGCCTCTCTGTGCTCTGGCCTCTGTGTGGCCGTGTTCTGCCAGCATGAGACGCTGTCCCCTCTGGAGGGTTTTAGGGGAGGAAGAGTCGCATCCCCGGGGCCTTGGAGGATGCTCTGGTGCCCGCGGCCCTCCTGGGTGCTGGTTGGAGAGAGCTGGTGGGGCTGTTGGAGCAGACTGCCGAGGGCTCCCTGATCCTGAGCTGCTGCCCCAGACAGGTGAGACAGGCTGGGCGGGGCTGCAGGCCAGCAGGGAGGCCGCCCGACCTCCCAGCCTCCACGCTGCTCTCTCACTGGCCTCTGTCCTTGGCAGAGCCCCTGCTGCCCAGGTCCCAGGGCATGGGCTCTTGGCCTGCCCTGGGCTCAGAGGGCTGCCCAGGAAGGCCCAGCGATCCCATTATCCCAGCAACTTATCACCTGTCCCCCTCTGTTCCCCGCGACCATCCTCAGTCCAACGTGAGGGTGTGGCCTTACCAGCGGGATGCTGCAATGACTGGGACCAGGTCCGATCTCATCCTCAGCCTGTTTGTCCATCAGTTAAAAGGGTTCAGGGTTCCTACCCAGCCGACGTGGCAGGGCTGATGAGGATCAAACATGGCAGCGTGAAGCCCAGTGCACCTGTGTGACTGACAGGGTTAACCGCTGACTGGGCTCCTGCCGACCTCTGGGCCTGGCTGGCCCCTGTCCCCTCCCCCAGATGCCCCTCATTCCCCTCTTTGGTGCCTGTCAACTGCTCTTCAGCAGAGGACTGCAGGGGAATGGAAAGAGTAGTGGTTGGGGGTTAGGAGGCCTCCATTCCTAGCTCTGACAGGGCTTGCTGTGTGACCCCGGGCAAGCCCTTTCCCCCTCTGGGCCTTTGTTTCCCCGCCAGAGGAAACTGAGCTGGAAGACCCCACCGACCTGCCTCTCATTGGCTGACACACTTCCTGTCCACTGTGTCCCTCTCCAAGTGCCAGAGAAGTAGAGGCAGGGGCCCCCCCCCGGCTGAGACGGTCCTACTGGGAAGGCCACTCCTGCAGATGGGCAGCCACCTGGTGGAGGTGACCCTGAGACAGCAGGCAGGAGAGACCTAGCAGCAAAAGCTGCCCCAAGCTACCCCACGACAAACATCATGCTCCTCCAAAACACCCTGAGAGGCAAAACATCCCAGCCGGCATCCAGACCTAGGCCCCAGCATGCACATCTGTTTACAGGAGAGTGTGTTCCCGGGTTGGTGCCCACCATGGCTTGAATCCTGACCCACGGCCTCCTGTCTCCCTTCTGAGGGAGACCCTGGGGGGATGTGTTTGCCAGACTCCCCGTGCTGGTTTCTTTGTTACTATTTGTCTGGGGTTCTATTTGGTTCTTTCTTTTCTTTTCTTTTCCTTTTTTTTAAAATACGTGGCTGTGAACTTGAATGACCACTGCTCAAACTTTCTGCTTTAGGGGATGGGCGGGGAGGGGACAAGGGGTGTCTGTTTTATTCTTGGTGTTTTCAGTGCAATAAATAGCTACAAACTTCTGTGCACTCCGCGTCTCCCTGTCTCCTGTCTCCGTCACGCTCTGGCCCTGGGAGGGTTTTGTCCCCTTCTGGTCTAGAAGACCCTTTGCAAACTAAAAACCCTAGTCTTCATTCTGATTGGACAGACTTAGGTCACATGCCCAAGGCTGGGCCAATGGCTGTGGGTTTGTGCTCGGACCCCATGTTCCAGTGGTAGAGCCAGGGGTAGGGCTGGCTTCATCTCAGGTTCACGAGAGACTCATAATTAAGAGCCAAGGGAAGGAGGTGGGTTGTCACAAATAGCCACGAGTTAAAGGGCAAGCTCGTTCTCCTGGCCTTGGTTTGCCTTGCACAAGGAGAAAGTTGTTCTGGAGGAAGCCTACACACAGCCACATATACACATGCATGCACTCAATCCCTTTCCTCAGCCCAACTCCAGACAGGTCCCCAGGCCTCAGAGCACCTGGAGAGTGAATCGGGGAGCAGAGAAGGGAAGGAAGGTTCTCCTTGCCTACAGACATGTTTGTGGTTGAGTGTCTGGGGCAGGGGCCTCGGGGCTGAAGAGTGGATGGCAGTCAGTTGCTCCATTGGTTACAGCCTCTGTCCACACCAGAGGCTGGCCTGGTTCTCTGAGCCCAAGACCCTGGCCAGGCAGAGCCAGCATGGTCACACGCTGTAGACCACACAGTTATAACCTTCCTGGCTGCAGATGGAAGATTCTCAGTACTAAAACCAGGACCATCCCAGACAAGCCAAAAGAGTTGGTTATCACAAGCCATGTCCCCCCTCCTCCCCAAGGGGCCTGGGGATGTGCCCACTGGAGCCCACAGTGCTATCTAGATTGTGCTCCAGATGGCTGGGATGCCAGCGTCCCTCTATCAGCCACTTTCCAGGTCTGTCCTTCCTGCTGGCGTTTGGAGTGGCCCAGGGAAAATGTGCCCCACTCATATGCATGAGACCCTTCGTGGTGAGAGCACAGGCCAGGGCTGAGAAGAGCACGAGGGATCTGGAAGCTTCCATTGGCACTCTTGCCCTGGAACCTGCAAATGTCAGCGCCAGGACTCTCCCAGCTCTGCCTTCGGGTGCCAGGATCTCCAGCCTGTGCAGTGCAGAAGGGTGTGAGGGCTGGGGTTGCCATTGTGGGCACTCGACAGCAGGTGGCAGCACGGGAGCAGGTTCCAGGCGGTTTTGCACATCTGTCCTTCTCTGGGAGAGCCGGTTAACCTCAAGAGATATCCTTTAATTCTCAAAAAGCGCCAGCTCCACAAAAACACTATTACCCCACAGGGGCGGGGTGCTGCGGAGTTCATACAGCGCTCTCATAACATCTCTTGCTCCAGCTGTAATAGCTCTATTTATTTATTTTTACAGAGATGTTGCTCTAGGGTGCTTGCACTCACCAGAGAGACAGAGACACAGAAAGTGAGAAATCACCCTTCAGGGGACATAGCCACACTGCAATCCCTTCTCCTTCATTCTCCTCTCAGGATCTCGGGCACGCATGCACATGTGCAGGCGTGAGTTTTAAGTCACCGGGTCTGGGACGCAAACTGCGGTTGACTACGTGGGAGTCCAGAAGTTCAGACTCTCAGCATGGGGTCCCCTGCATCTCTAAAGTGTGCTGTAGCCAGGCTGGGCTCTGAGAAAGGCTCAGCGCCTGGGCCACTCTCCTGCCCCCAGGAGTCCCTGACACCACCCCGATAGCCAGAGATGGCAGAGAATAAGAACTCAGGGTAGGCTGGGAAGGGGCTGGACTTGGAGATGCAAAATGGGAGGGAACTCTGGGGAGGAACAGGAAGGAGGATGGTGTCTGTGGAAAGGAGGTGGGTGGCTTTGTGGAGGTGTGCAGCTGAGATGCAAGGGGAGAGAAGAGCTGGGCGGAGAGCCCAGAACAGCGAGTTCCGTGGTGGGGATGGTGTGTGTGCAGACAGGCTTGGGAGGGGGCTGTGAGGTTTGAGGGGGGTCAGTGACTGGGGGAGCCTGATTGGGCCACGATGTGGCTGTGCATTTCCAGGGCATGGTGAGCCCCCAGCAAGGGAAATGGCCTTCTCGAGATCTGGATCTAGTGAACCTCTCTTTATTTATTTATACATACATTTTTTTTTTAGAAATTTTTGCCATAAGGTATGTGCATTAGCTGGAGAAACAGAGAGTGAGAAAGTGAGAAATCACCGCCCCAGAGCAGATGGCTTTGACATAAATCCTCCTCCATTCTCCTCTTGGGATTTTGTTTGACACAACTCCTCCTCCATTCTCCTCTTGGGATTTTGGGCACGCACACACATGCGCCTGGCGTGAGTTTCAAGCCACTAGATCTGGGGCTCAAACTGTGGTTGGCCACATGGTAGTTCAGTGCCTTACCACTATGCCACCTACTTGCTGGCCCCAAGATCTAGTCAGTCTCCTAGGAAACAATCCCCAGCAGGTGCCAGGACTGTCTGTGCAGAGCAAGGTAGGACAGGTCCACTCCAGAGAGAATGGCCCCCCTCTTTGTCTTTCTTGGGGGACTGGCCCCACCCTCCCTTCTCCACCATGCTGCCTGGCTTCAGAGGCCACTTCCCCCAGGACAGCTGGCCCAGCTACCTCTTCCCAGGCCCAGGGCCTCAACTAGAGGTGAGCTAGGGGTAGACTATCTCTTGCCCCACCTCCCCCAAGAAAGGGAGATTATCGCCAATGTCTCCCAGTGTAACTTACATGAATCACAGCTCCTCTCTGGGCCTCAGTTTTCTCATTATTATAATGACGTAGAGCCTGCGGGGTCCCCAGTATGGAAGCCAGGCTGGCTGTTGCAGGGAACTGGCGAAAACTACAGGTGTTTCTGGCCCAGCCCTCAGAGAAGGGATGCATTAGGCTGGGCAGGGGTTCAAGCAGCACCCAGGAAGCACCCAGGTTTGGGGATCCTGCCCTAGTTCCCACGGCCGGTAGCACTGGGAGCCTGAAGATGCAGTTAGCAGAAAGCCCCACCCTGGGCTTCCAGCTTCCCCATCCTTCTCTCCTGACTCAGCTAGGTCAATATTGACCAGAAGTCCCTCCCCTGCCTGATTCCCGCCACCCCAAGCTCTAAAGCTCTCCAAGACCCTGACCTGGGGTCAGCAGAGTCAAGGTCAAAGGAAGGCCTGAGGCCCAGAGGATCTCACGGCTGCTCCCACACACTCTACAACCCCCACTCTACCCAGTTTAACAGGGTGCCCGGCTCACTGGGGAAACCATCAGGGCTCCTAGTCATTAAGTTTGTCCTGCAAGAGGAAGCCAATGTCCTTCCTATCGGGGCAGGGTTGATCCCAAATCCATCTCCCTAGCTCCCACGGCATGGTCCCTAGCAGAGGGCGGAATGGGGTGGATCGAGATAGAGGGCTCCCTTTTGCTCACCTCTCTCCCCAGAGGCACCTCTTTGGTACCTCAGATCTGGGACTCAAACCACAGTTGGCCACATGAGAATCCATGATGTACCCACTATGCCACCTGCTGGCCTCTCATTTCTTTTTATTTACTTATTTATTTAGAGAGATTTTTTGCTATAAGGTGTGTGCACTCACTGGAGAGACAGAGACAGAAAGCAAGAAATTACCCCCTAAGGGAGATGGCCATGCTGCAATCCCTTCTCCTCCATTCTTCTCTAGTGTGAGTTTCAAGCCTCTGGGTCTGAGATTCGAACTGTGGTCAGTCATGTGGGAGCGATGTAACCGTTATGCCATCTGCTGATCCTTATATTACTTCATTTAGTCTCCTGCCGGGGGAAAACAAATCTTCTCATTTTACTTCTGGGGACACTGGAGTTCAGAGAGGTGAAGTAGCAGATTCAGCTGGGTGGTGGAGCCAGGATTTGGCTCTGACCAGTGGCTGTCCAACTTCACCTTGGCACCGATGGGCTCCAGTTCTCTAGGGCTTGCAGCTCACAGTCGCATGCTGTGGATTTGGTGGGAAAGACTCTCTTTCTCCTGAACAAAAAGTGATCTTGAATGGGAGCACTTGGAAGGGGGACTCCCTGTGGCCAGAGGGGGGCAGGCTACTCCTCTTTGGGGGTGGAGGAATGCTGTGGCTGGAAGTCAGGTGGAGACAGAACCAGGGAGTGAGGGGCGAGGGTGCTGGCCAAGGATCCATGGGCAGGCAGGCGACCTTGGATGCCCTTCCAGGACAGGACCAGTGGCAGTGAGGCCTCAAGCTCTAAAGGGAGTGGCCTGGAGCTCAAGGAGCCAAACGTTCCATGAGCCACCAGCAAAGTATGAGCCTGGAAGAAGGCGCTCACCACAGACCCTGAGGCTCTGCAGTGAAGGGTCACATGGGATTAGGGGAGGGGGGGCTGCGATTGCCTTAACTCTTCGCTGGTTTTCCCCAGAGCCAGCAAGGAGCCACGCTGCAAAGCTGTGATCTGGCCCTGTGTCATTGGGGCAGCCCAGGACGAGAAAAGTCCAGTCTGTAGTGGGCAGAAGCCGAGGACACACATGTATCCCTTCAGTCCACACATGTGTATTCTGTGCATGTCAAGCCCCAGCCTGGGCTGGGGGCCCAGAGCCTGACCCCAAACCCGTATGATGCCACTAAAAGGAGAAGTTGTCATGACCCCCATTTCTTTTCTTCTTTTTTTTTTAAATTTTTTTTCAGAGACATATTTGCCATATGCACTCACATGCACTCACCAGAGAGACAGAGAGAGAAAGTGAGAAATCACCTCCCAGGGGAGGTGGTCACGCTGCAGTCCCTTCTCCATTCTCCTCTTTGGGCTCCTCTTGGGCACGCACGCACATGCACCTGGCATGAGTTTCAAGCTGCCGGGTCTAGGACTTGACTCAAGGTTGACCAGGTGGAATTCCAGTGCCTTAACCACTATGCTACCTGTTGGTCCCCATGACCCCCATTTTACAAGTACAGGAACTAAAGCTTAGAGTGGTCCGTGACATCCCCAAGATCGCACAGCCAGGGAGCGGTGGAGCCAGGAATGAACCCAGGTCTGTTGGCTGGGCAGTCCGAGCCCCCATAAAATGCCCTGCTGCCCCCCAAATGCTCCAGGGTCCAAAGAGCATGGCGGAAGGTCTTTATGCGGAAAAAAGTGCACCATCTCAGAGGGGTGCGAGCGCTCCGAGCAGGGGGGGCAGGCTGTCAGCCCTCCAGATGTGGGGCTGAGTCAGACCCCCTGAAGGGCCAAGGAGCCCTCATCTGGGTGGGGGATTCAGGAAGGCATATGGGGGGGAGGCTCACTCAAGAAGGACCAGAAGCACGGCTGGAATCCATGAGTGATAGAAAGACATGGGATCAGGGTGGGAGACGCCTAAGCCAGGGTCAGGATGCAGGCAGCTGGAGGACAGGTATAAATGAACTTGGCTGGGGTGGGGCCTGCTAAGGACCAAACGCAGGTGACCAGGATGACCCCTGGTGTCTGTTGCCCCTCGCTTGACCCTGGGAACATGGCTGATCTAGATGGTGCGGGAGCAGTCCCTCCCCTGTTCTGTCCCCTTCCCACTTCCCCTCCACCTTTGCTCTCAGACGTCATAGGCTGCAAGGACTGCAGATGGCCCAGTGCCCCGTCTCGGCATTTCCTGGCACCCATGGGAACGCCTTCCCTGACAAGTCTCAGAACAGGAATGACAGTGCCCAGGGCGCCCTCCCTCTATACGCTGCCTCCAGGGCTCCTCACCAGCCCCCTGAGCTCAGGGGTCCGTGGACGCGGAGTTGAGCTGAGGCAGGGCACGGAGAAACCCCTGGGGATGGCGTGCCTCCGCACCAGTATGTTGTCACCCCGGGACCTCAGGCGAGCCTCCCGCACCTCCATGCCCCCCCTACCCCGGGCTGCTCAGCCCCTGAGTCTGCAGGGCCGTCTGTACAGAGGCCAAGCAGAAGCTCTAACTGAGCGACGCGGCTTTCCATCTTTTCAATCAGTAGTCCACATTACAACTTGGGAAACTTTTTATAAAAACCCAGACTTCTGTTGCTCTTCAGAATCCAGGAGATCGGGGATCTGGGCCCACGCTTCTGAGAGGAAGCTTCCTCTGAAGACAGGTATGCTTTCTTCTCCAGTTCACCTCCGTTCCCGCTCCTCCTTGCTGTCTCTGCAGCACTAAGGGTCATGGCCACTTCGCCTCCCTGACTTGGTTTGCCATCCCCTGGACCCGCCGGGACCTTCCAGGACCCGCCACAGGGCTGAGGTGCCTTGGGGTGCCCTTACATGGTCACGGATTCCTCCAGCTGGGCCCTGCTACACTCAGGGCCTGCTAGGGTCTGCGCTAGGCCCTGAGCCCCATGTGGGGAGATGGCAGGGGTAGAGGCTGGCGCAGTAGGGAGGGCTGTCTGAGCAGTACAAATGGAAAAAGCAGCACAGACCCGAGACTGGGCCAGGGATGGCAGTGCAGGAACCGCAGGCTGAGGCAGGGGTGGAGGAGGCAGGATTGGCAAGGCAGGCAAAATGAAGCAGGGGAAGTGACGCTGGTGGGATCCAGAGACTCCTGGAACCTCAGATCTCACACCGGGAATCTGGAGAGAAGAGATGCCAGGACTCCACGGAGCCCCCCTCCTGAGTCCCAGGGTACCTGGCTGCAGCCAAGCGGCTAAGATGAAACCAAAGCCTCATACGGGGCAGAGTTCTCCTCCCCACAGGGCACTGCCAGGCAGGCTGGGGCCGGCCAGAGAGGGAAGCAGAGCACCGGAGCTGGGACGGCCACCCCGGCCACCCAGGCCACCCGGGCCTCCTCTGCAAATTAACATTCTCTCTTTGCCTACCTAGAGCCCCAGACAAAGGGGAGGGAGAGGAACCTGGCTCTTTGTTTGGGGAACTTAATAATATCCTAAATATGTAGCCATCCTCCCTTCCCACCCCCAATCAAAGCCTTTGCCAACACCTGGGCCTTGCATTTGAAAGGCCCTGGGCTCCTTTATGTGACAAGGCCCTGCCAGGAGGGGGTGGTGGATAGAACCAGGAAATTCTTCTGCCTGGGAAACTCTTGGCTCCTCCCAGCTCTGGTCTTCCAGCTCCAACCTTCACCTGCAGGCCAGGCTGAGGAGGAGCAGGGCAGGGAAAGCGGGCAGCAGGGAGTAGGGGCAGGAGAATGCCCAGTGCCCTGGTCTGGCCTCCAGGCTCTGCCTACCTTGGCTAGGTAGCCTAGGGGAGTCTTCCCCTGGGGAGCCTCAGTTTATTTGTATTTATAAAGGGGTGGGGGGGCAAAGTATTCTCAAAGGGTCCAGAGCTCTTCCTTCCGCAGCAACCCCCCTTACCATTAGCCAGGTCAGAAGCCAGGAGAAGGGAGCTAAGTCTGGGTTTCCTCGTCCAACCATGTGCGCTGGAAAAGCCCATGCTGCTCCCTCACGGCTCTGGGCAGTAAGGACGCGGGGAAGGAGGAGGACCTCATTCGGTGTTTATTAACAATAAACCTACAAAACGCAGGCTGGCAGGGAGACGCCACAAGAGACAGGCACAGGAGTGGGCCACAGCTGCACAGGGTGCCCCACCGCCCCGGAGTATGCCACGTGTGAGGGGCCTGTTCCGGCATTTCTGCACCCCTATCTCATGGGTGTGGGGTGCCACAGCCTGGGTTCTGCCTCCACTCCGATGCCGCTCCTGGGACCCACGCCTGGAGCAGCGTCGGGACCAGACGGCCATGCATGCGACTATCTTCCATTTCTCAGGTGCCCTTGTCATCCCGGACCAAGGCCAACTTCCCAGCAGCACCAGAGCTGGAGGAGACAGTGAGGACCGCCAGGGCAAGGGTGAAAGGTCCAGAGGGGCCTGGGTTCTGATTCGGACCCCTTGCTCCCACCTCTGCAGCCTGTGCGGCTCGGGGCCCTGTTAGCAGGGCACAGGCTTAGAACTCCACAGTTCCAGGGGGAAGGTGTGGCCTGCTCCAAAGTGCTGATCCTCCTCTCTTTCCCCAGCACCCAGCTCAAGCCCAGCTCTAGCCACAGGCACCTCTTGCCTGTCCTCCACCGGCTGCTCATCTCCACACTGTTCCCCTCTAACCCATCCTGCACAGACTCAGGATAGGACTCTCATGCAAATCCCCTGCCCCCCTTCAGCCCTGGCTCCCCCACCCCTGTAATTTCACTGACTGGGACCCTCTAGGAACCCAGCCACTTGCAGTGTCTGCCCCAGGCGAGCCTCTGCCTGGCCTGCCGGGTGAAGGCTGGACCTGGAAGGCCCTCCCCACCCGGGTTCCTCCTCCTTTCTCTGCAAACCCTCCCCATGCTCATCCGCCACTCCCTCGGGAAGCTGGCCTGCACACCCGAGCCCACATGGGTCTTTCCCCACTTCATTCACTGACTTTCGGGGCCTCTACCTGCCTGGAGTCTCCCTGCCACAGTTCAAGTCCCTGGTTGCAGTGAAGACTGTGGGGAAGGGCTCCCCAAGATAAGGGAGGCATCCTGGCCTGGACAGAGGTGGTACCAGCTGCCCCATGGGGAAGGAAACTGGCTGGTCAGGTGACCTGGGGTAAAGTCCTCTCTGCCACATGACCTTGGGCAAGTGCCTCCCTCCCTGGCCTGAGTGGGATCTCAGCTTTGAGTGTGAGTGTGAGTGTGTGTGTGTGTGTGTGTGTGTGTGTGTGTGTGTAGGGGGGTCAACAGGTTTCAGAAGGCAGAGGCCACAGGAAGGAGCTGCTTTGGGGGATCAGTGTCACCATGGCAACCTCCCACAGCCTCTCAGAACCCCAGAGGACACACTGCCTCTTGCAGACCCCCAAGGAGAGGCTGTGAGGCCTCAGGCAGGGCCTCCAGTCCACCTGCCTCACATCATCGACTCCTCCTCCTCGGCTATCTCGCGGTCCACCTCGATGGCCGTGTTCTCGAAGCTGGTGATGCCTCCGTACTTGCGCATGTGCACCATCAGTGGTTTGGGTGACTGGCTCCCGGCCAGCGTGGCCACATACATGCCTGTCCGGTTCTCCTCCAGCGACGGGCCCCAGTCCATGGCTGGCCGGCTGGCCTGCTGGGGGCGCCGGCAGCGCGCGAACC